AGAATGTAACATTCAGACAAATTTGTAAAAAATACAAACAAAAAAGTATCATAATTAATTTGATCAATGTTCATATAATATTCTAACTATTAACATGCTGTTTTCTCTGAACCAGATTCTTGTACTGTAAGTGGGGCAAGGCATACATCTGCTCTGCAGTGAGCTGTCACACTGATTATGCAGAAAAAGTAGGGATAAAGTACAGACTGTATATGTGCTGTCCTTTGGGAGTTCTTGTCATGCTCCTTCGCTGAATCAAAGTCTCTCCTTGAGCCAAAAAGGTTATAATGAAAGGAGGTGGGGGGGGGGACTTTATGATTCACATGGTGGGACCTGCTCCACCTCATTAAAGTTTGCTGAAGCCCCAAAAAGGTTCCAAAATCATTTTTGGATAAAAAGTTATTGGTGACTAAAAGAGGAAAGAGACACTCCTGTCTAAAACTGTGGATCACAATCCCAAAACAAACAAATATTTACATTAAAAACTAGCTGTAAATTTGGTAATAGTTGAATTTATCTTCATCTCTGCTGTTCACCTGCTCTTGGTACAGAAATACCCATGACTATACAGCTCTAGTTCTTCTAATAACCTACTATTAGTTTGTAATTGGAGACTAGGCAGAATTTGTGTTAGCATGACAGCTTCAAAGCTATCATTATAGCATTTAATGCATTTGATGTTAACTGAAATACGTTGTCGCTGCATATTACTACTATACCAATTATAAATGAAGCCTAGGAAAAAATTCAAGTGGATGACACTTACTTTTCTACCAATCGCCTCCTCTTTTGTCCTTCCAGCCTACCGGCACAGTTTTATGCCCTCACCAATTATCATTCAAGACTCTGCATTTAAACTTCAAAAGCCATTGGTGTTGTCTCTTTCCAGCATCTTTCTTCATCCTGTTTGCCTCCCTATAATATTCCAGTTTTTTTTTTTTTTTTTTTTTTTTTTGTGCAAGTCTGTCCAGGTTGAAATAGCTTCATGTGAGGCTTCCAATGATAACTTTGGAATCTAAAACATTTGGTCAGAAATATAAGAAAAACTGTTTAAACATCTGATTTTATAATGTTGATTAGAAACCTCTGGGTCTGCTGGAGGTTTCTTCCTGTTAAAAGGGAGTTTTTCCTCTCCACTGTTGCTACAAGCATGCTTAGTATGAGGGATTGCATTCGAGTCAATGAGTCGATGCAATCAACTGGTTTTTCTTAGATAGAAAACTATGAATGAATTTGACTGTATGATCTGGTGAACTGTAAAGTGCCATGAGATGATGTGTTGTGAATCGGTGCTATAGAAATAAACTGAATTCATTGGAAATAAAACAGGCAAAAAGGTTTTAATGCACAAATGTCTCCCTCCCCCCTATAAACCCTGCAGATCTGCTCATCTTCCTGTTATAGTAACAGTCCTATGTAGTAAATTAATCCAGGTGGTTACCTGGTATTTGAAAAGCACTAGATAAAGAGTAAAAAAAATAAAAATAAATACTCTATTTTCCAAGATAATTTATGGTTATCAGTTAGGTATAATTACAGTGAGTTTTTATGTAATTGAACAAGAGTGACAAACAATTGTTTTGTGCTATAACATTTTTTGCAGTTTTAACGTTTAAGGGGAGAAGATATGGAACATTTGATGACAATTTATATTTAGTCATTTTTTATTTTCTCTAATGCTGCTGAACAGTTATTGCATCCAATCCTGTTTAGAAGTCACCTGATTAGTTAATATAATCCACCCGTGTTGCTTTCACTACAGCTATTGTTGTTGTTGGCTTGTCAGAGAACATCAGAGAAAGAACACAAAGAGCAAGGAGCACAGCAGACAGGTCAGGGCCAGTTTTGGAGAGGTTCAAAGCAGGGTTAGGTTTTAAAATAAAATGTCAAGCTTTTCCCACATCTCACAGAAGGCTGTTCAATCCATCACCTGAAAATGGAAAGACACAGCTACCAACATTTGATCGTCCACTAAGACTGATTGTCTTGGCAGGAAAAGCATTAATCAGAGAAACAGCTGAAAGCAGCAGAGATCCAAAGCTCAGGTGGGAAAATCCATCAGCAAAATAACCATTAGTCACCCACTCCACATTGCTGGCCTTCATGAAAGAAGCAGGAAGAAAACTATCGTTGAGCTTTCAGAATTTCATTTGAAACTGTACAAGACTTTGTGTTGATCACCAAACCATCTATCTAGAATATATTTAAGCTTGTGACTGTAAAGTGACAAGAAAAACCAACATTTTTTTAAATATATATTGATAAAACAAGATTCTTCATTTTTAGTTATAAAGTTTTAGCACTTTAATTATGTTGTTTTTGTGTATGTTTGTTGTTTTAAATAAGTCTCTCCTTCAGTTTTGTTATAACACCACAAACATGACATGAATAGCTTGTTTTATTTAAAGATCTTGCCTCGTCCTGACAGGCAATTTATCTGCTCATCAGAACAAGTAAACAACCTACTAAGCCATTTTGAAAACATCTTGGAAATAGCCACATTATAGAAGAGTGTTAGGTTGTGTCAGCGAGAAGGACAGGAAACAAGCCACTGCATAAATTGGAATATAAGATTTAAAAATATTACTAAACAACTCCATTATACCTTATTTTATTCTAAAGGCAAACATAAAAAGTTTCATTACAGTTTTTTGGTAAAATGAAAATGAGAGTAATTTATTATGAATGGAAGTTCTCATTTTATTAACCCTTTATAGGGTAAGTTACCATTTTTGATCACTTGCATACCCCTTAGAAATGGAGTGCCATTTATTTCACTCTCAGAGTGTTTTTCATGAATTTCTTATAGAAGCACGTTTGTTATTTTTCTTAATTTATACGGGCAAGTTGGCGTTTCTTGTTATTACATTGACATTAATTTATGCCATCAAAATATGCTTTTTTTTTTTACGTTACAAAGGTACTAAGGCCTTGTCCTAGATTCCAATAACACACTACAAAAATGATCTATACATTTGTGAAAATGTCTCAAAATAAGTGTATTTACCCTTAATTTGAGTAGGTAAATAAGAAAATCTCCCAGTTGAAGGAGCATTTTTATCCTTCAAATCAGATTATTTGATATTATGCACTTCAAATAGGAGACTGCATTTTTTTCCTTTAATTTAAATGTACATTGTCTTATTCCATTTGCAAAGTATCTCACTTCCCTGCTCAGTTCAAGAAAAAAATCACTTATTTTAAGAAAAACAGACTTACTTAGATTTCAGTTTTTTTGCAGTGTACTCTTTGCTTGAAATTTAGATAGTCTTTCACTGAATGCCCTATAAAGGGTTAATGGTTTTTAACATTTCCTCAAATATAAACCTTTATTTCATATTGAAAACACTTTGAACGTAAAACTTGTGAGTTCTAGTGGATCTGTGCAGTAAGGATAAAATCACCATCTGTTGAACCATAAAATCCTGAAACCCACAATTATACAGTGCATTTGAGTTTAAAACAATACAAGAATGACAACTTATATTATGCAAGTCTATTCATCTGCAACAATGGAGATTAAAATAGGACTCCAATAAAAGGGTTCTCCCTCTATATAGAATAAGTTAAAGGCCCTTTGGTATTATTGCATCAGATCTAGATTACAGTTTAAAACTAACCAAACTGTTAATCAATTCTAATGCAGAACAGATTATCAGCCGTATAATAGGATTCATAGGTGAAAATATTCCATGCCGTTATACATTCTCAATTATATTCAAGTCTTGCCCATTCTAACACCTGGATGTGTTTATTTGTGAACCATTCCATTGTAGATTTTGCTTCATGTTTTGGATCATTGTAATGTTAGATGATAAATTTCTCTCCCAGTCTCAGGTCTTTTTCAGACTCCAACAGGTTTTCTTCCAGAATGCTCCTGTATTTGGTTCCATCCATCTTCGCATCAATCTTAACCCTCTTCCCTGTTCATGCAGAAGAAAAACAGGCCCAAACCATGATGCTGCAACCACCATGTTTGATAGTGGGGATGGTGTTTTCAGGGTGATGAGCTGTGTTGCTTTTACGGCAAAAATAAAATTTTACATTGTTTCCTAAGTTCGATTTTGGCTTCCTCTGAGCAGAGCACCTTCTTCCAGATGTTTTCCATTTCTCTCAGGTGGCTTATGGAAAACTTTAAACAAGACTTTTTGTGGATATCTTTAAGAAATGGCTTTCTTCTATAAAGGCTAGATTTTTGCAGTATATGACTGTTGTTCTTTGGATAGAGTCTCCCTCCTCCACTGTAGATCTCTGCAGTTCATCCTGTGATCTTGGGCCTCTGGGCTGCATCTCTGATCAGCCTTCTCTTTGTTTGAGCTGAAAGTTTAGAGGGATGGCCGGGTCTTCGTAGATTTGCAGTGCTCTGATGCTCCTTCCATTTCAAAATTACAGCTTGCACAGAACCCCTTGGGATGTTAACAGCTTGGGAAATATTGCTGTATCCAAATCCAGCTTTAAAAACAATATCCTCAACCTGTCTGGTGTGTTCCTTGTTCGTCATGCTCTCTGAGCTTTAAACAGACCCTGAGACCATCACAGTCTAGGTGCATTTATACCGTGACTTGATTACACACAGGTTGATCCTATTTATCATCATCAATCGTTTAGGTCAACATTTGATCATTCAGAGATCCTCAATGAACTTCTGAAAGGAGTTTGCTGCACTGAAAGTAAAGGGGCTGATTAATTTTGCATGCCCAGGTCTTCAGTTTTTTATTTGTTAAAAAAATCTTAAAATATCCAACTTGATGATTCTTCACATAAATTACAATTCTATATTCTTTATTTTTGAAACCTAAAATGTGGCAAAAGGTCGAAAAGTTCAGGGGTGCCGAATACCTTCACAAGGCACTGTATATAGCAGCAAAAGTGTATCACTCTAAATACATAACAAAAAAATAAGTATAAAAGCAGAGGGACCCATTCTTCAATAAGACCCTTTAAAAAGCGACCGTAACCCTGTCAGGAACCCACGGGCCTCAAAGAGAAGTCTTACTCACCATTTTGATTGAAGACACTGGTCCGATGCTGTTCACGAATATGTCCACATCTATGACAGTTGGTTTGACTAAAGAAAAAAGAAATAAAAATTCAGCAAGTCAAATATCTTACTTTTTGTCAGTCTTTCACATTGATGCTTTAAAAAAAAAAAAGTGAAAATAAGTCTTGGATTAAAGACACTTTGCGGTTAAGAATCCTCTGAAGAGAAAGTAGCTGCTGAGTGAAGAGGCCCTCAGGACGTAATGATCCCACATTAGTCTTCATCACAAACCGCTGTGATGAAACACCTCCACCAGTGTTCTCTTGAAAAAGACAATTATGCATCGATTATTCTCCAGTGAACCGAGCCCAGAGACACACTTTTAGACCTTATTCCATTAAGACTTGACTCTCAGTCCTTGTACTTTCATTTGCCTTCCTTCGTCAGTTTCTCTCTTTTTTTTTTTGTGACGATCAAAGCTATGTCTTAGTTTACTTACATGTCAATCAAGGGTGTTTTAGGGAGCCATACACCAAAAATAGATGCCATGGGGGGGTATTGCTTGTTTTTAAGCTAAATGGCAGGTTTGAAACAACACATTTAGCGCTCAACCACTCAGTCATTTTCCTGGCATGTAGTGACAACAAAAAAAGAGAAGGACAAAAAAAAACATGACCTCAAACTAAAAGTCTTTTAAATATTTACTTTAAAACAGATTAAGAACCTTTATTAGGTATTGGTGGAGATCAAACTTTAATCAATTTACACAACAATTGTATACTATGTTGTAGGTGGAGAGACTCAGACGTCTGTTGCAGAAGACACATAATTAACACATCAGGAATAAAATTATAAGTAGGCTCACTTTTTAAGTCAGGATCCCTGGCTATAAACATCAGGTGCATTAAAAAAATTGTATAAATAAGGTCAAAAACCAAGGACACATAAAACATGGGGAGGGAGGAACAAGCTGTAGATCCACTACTCAGGTGATTAAAAATCAAGAGTTTGCCTTTTTCTGGCTGGACTTGGATCTACAGTATGGCCGCCATTAAGAAAAATGCAGTCTTCTGATTTTATTGACATACATTTAAAATAAGGTGAGAAAAATAACTAAAACTAAGAGGAAACTCATAGGGGACATCAAGTTCAGATTAGCAACCTGGAGGTTGACTTAACAGAGCACTAAGTTTAAGAAGGTGCCATAGAGACGGGAATTACCCATGTCGAAGCTTAGAACACCAAGTAAACATAGCTGGAGGTCAGGTGAATGGCAAGTAGGCAACAGTGATTGTTAAAGATTATAAGGTGCCTGATAAGGTCTTGAGGACAAAGAATAAAAGCATGAAGAGGCAGATAGATCCTGCCAGTGAACTCTGGAACAGTAGCTGATGGGATGAGCCATCCTTATCTCCTACACTAAAGCAGGAAAACAAAATGGAGGATGAAAATATTGGTTGCGGACTCCAATTCCGCCCTATGTGGAACAGTGGTAAGGGCAACCCATTGTTTAAAGAAAGTAATAAGAAGTACAGTTTCCATTTTGCTTTAGGGCATATGTGAAGGACCAAACTTGAATAAGGACTAAAGGTTTTAAAAAATTTAAAAAGACTTTCATTTAATGATGTCAAAAACAAGGAACAAAGGTTTAAAGGCAGTATAAAATAGCTTAAATAATAAATAACATGAATTTGGGCCCAACTCAACTGAGGTCAACTGAACAGTAACTCAAACCAAAAACTGACCTACTGAAAAAGAACAGAGGCTGAATAAATAGGGGTGGAATAACTTAATCTTGCCACACAAGGGAGGCACAATATAAGAGAAAAGCAATAAATCAAAAAAGCCAAAACAAAACTTAAACATATTAAACAAATAAAACAAATCTTTAACTTAGCACAAATAATAAGTGAATATTAAGGTGACAAAATAACCGTGGTCAACTTAAACAAAATCCCCCCTTCAGTTCTTTGTGACAGTGGTTTGTTCCTGACTTCCACCTCCAGCTGATCCACATTTGCAGAACCTCAAAGAAAATAACAAATGTGAGTAAAACCATTCAGCCATATTAACTAAAGTGTGCACCCATTAGAAAATATAGATCTAAATGGAATAAACTAAATCTGGAACTAAATACGAACTACGAAAATATACAAACACTTTGTGGTGGGGGAAGAAGGATCCACCACATCATGTAAAAAGCATATTAGCAACCTCATGGAAGAAGTTGCTTTTTGTTATTATATGGCAAGGTTTCATCTTCTATCAGGACAAAGGCCGTAAACATAGAGCTAGAGTTTAGATAGGAAATGCTTGTGAAAGACTTTGAAAAAAACATATTACTTTTTTTCTACCTAATTATTGTGACCTTCTGAGTGTTGGTTTGTCAAAATAAATTCTACCCCTCAAAATATTGTTACAACTTGTTCAGTTTGTATGTATGCTGTTGCAAAGCATTGTTGTCTTTTAGATTTTTCGTGGTAGCTTGAACTACTACAAAAGCCATAATATAGTTTATCAACCTTTAATCTGATACTTCCTAAGAAAGTAAGAAGTGAGTTTAAAAAATACACGGATGCAGCAAATCTGACAAAAGACCAGTTGGTGTTTGACACGAGATTTGAGAGTTAATTGCTTGCAAAAAAAAAAAGTACTCTTTTTTTCTCAATAAAGGCCCACAGTCTTAGCCTAATGCTGCTCCTTGCTGGTTTTAGCGAGTTTGGACCTGGATTCCTGGACAACCAGGGGTCTGCATTTGCTCCTGGAGGGGGAGCTATCTGTGTCCAGGTTGGTGGATGCATTCCAGGTGCTGCATACCTGGACTGTGGGTGTGGGGCCTGCAATGTTGTGCATTAACACGTTCAATGAATGGCGTTCACTGAATACGTTCATATTTATAGGCAGTGTTGAGCACGTTACATTGAAAAAGTAATTAGTTATAGCTACTAGTTACTTCTTCCAAAAAGTAACTGAGTTAGTAACTGAGTTACTACACAATAAAAGTAACTAGTTACTAGTAAAAGTAACTATTGTGTTACTGTACTTTTGCGTTTCTCACCCTCACCATCCAGCCCCCACCTTCTCGCCGTGTGTTTCAAAAGCCAGCTGAATAGAGTGGATCACAAGTACCTGCAGAGAGTTTTGAATTAATTGCAACTCAACGTAAATTACATCAGGGGGGAACGCTATCTGATGGGCCTCTAAACCCCGTCAGATAGCGTTCCCCCTGCTTAACATGGGGTTTAGGTATCTGATGCGGTGTCAATATCATCAGGCTGCATTACCTCTAGGTAAGTGAAGTTTTTTAACAGGGCGTTCAGATCTGGTGAGTGTATGAAATTAATAACTGGGGATGTCTGATTCTAAAATCCTGTGTGTTTGG